ACCATCATTCGAGTGAACCAGAAACCAACAGAATGGGAAAAAATGTTTGCAATCTACCTATCTGACAAAGGGCTAATATCCAGAATGTACAAAGAACTAAAACCGATATACAGGAAAAAAACAATGCCATTCAAAAGTGGTTGAAGGATATGAACAGACACTTCTCATAAGAAGACACATATGAAGCTAACAAACATATGAAAAAATGCTTGTCCTCATTAGTCATTAGAGAAATGCAAATCAAAACCACAATGAGATACCATCTCACATCAGTTAAAATGGTGACCATTAAAAAATCTGGAGACAATAGATACTAGAGAGGATGAGAAACAGAAACACTTTTACACTGTTGGTGGGAGTGTAAATTCATTCAACCATTGTGGAAGACAGTGTGGCCATTTTTCAAGGATCTAGAAACAGAAATTCCATTTGACCCAGCAATCCCATTACTGGGTATATACCCAAAGAACTATAAATCATTCTACTATAAAGACACATGCACACATATGTTCATTGCAGTCCTGTGTACAATAGCAAAGTCCTGGAACCAACCCAAATGCCCATCAATGATAGATTGGACAAAGAAAATGTGGCACATATACACCATGGAATACTATGTAGCCACAAAAAACGATGAGTTTGGGTGCTTTGTAGAGACTTGGATGAATTTGGAAACCATCATTCTCAGCAAACTGACAAAAGAACAGAAAACCAAACACCACATGTTCTCACTCAGGAGAGTGTTGAACAATGAGAACACATGGACTCAGGGAGAGAAACATCACGCGCTGGGGGCAGTTTGGAGGAGGTAGTGGGGGGATGGGGGTGGGGAGGGTGGGGAGGGATAACATGGGGAGAAATGCCAGCTATAGTATACACCTAAAGTAAAATTAAAAAAAAAAAAAAAAAAGACAAAGAGAGACATTATATGATGGTAAAAGGCCTTTTCCAACAGAAAAATATCCCAGTCCTGAACATATATGCACCTAACACTGGAGCTCCCAAATTTATAAAAGTTACTAATAGACCTAAAAAATAAGATAGAAACAACACAATAATAGTGGGGGACTTCAATACTCCACTGACAGCACTAGACAGGTCATCAAGACAGAAAGCCAACAAAGAAACAATGGATTTAAACTATACCCTGGAACAAATGAACTTAACAGACATATACAGAATGTTCCATCCAACAGCTGCAGAATATACATTCTATTCAACAGCACATGGAAACTTTCTCCAAGACAGATTATATAAGAAGACCACAAAATGAGCCTCAATATATTTTTAAAAATTGAAATATTATGATGATTATTTTATTTTTTGAGATGGAGTCTTGCCCTGTCACCCAGGCTGGAATGCAGTAGCACAATCTTGGCTTACTGCAACCTCTGCCTCCCAAATAGCCGGGACTACAGTCATGAGCCACCGTGCTCATGACTCTATTTTCTGTATTTTTAGTACAGATAAGGTTTCACCATGTTGGCCAGGCTGATCTTGAGCTCCTGAGCTTAGGTGATCTGCCCACCTCAACGTCCCAAAGTGCTGGGATTACAGGCGTGAGCCACTGAGTATGGCCTAGAAAACTGAAATTACATATCAAGCACTCTCTCAGACCATAGTGGAATAAAACTTGAAATCAACTCCAAAAGGAACCTTCAAATCCATGCAAATACACGGAAATTAAATAATTTCCTCCTGCATCAACATTGGATCAATAATGAAATAAAGATGAAAATTCAAAAATTCTTTTAACTGAGTAACAACAGTGACACAACCTATCAAAATCTCTGGGATACAGAAAAGGCAATACTATGAGAAAGTTCATAGCCCTAAACATCTACATCAAAAAGTCTGAAACAGCACAGACAATCTAAAGTCACACCTCAAAGAACTAGAGAAACAAGAAAAAAACCAAACTCAAACCCAGTAGAAGAAATAACCAACATCAGAGCAGAACTAGATGAAATTGAAACAAAACAATAAAAAAGATAAATGAAACAAAAAGGTGGTTCTTTAAAAAGATAAATAAAATTAATAGACCATTAGCAAGACTAACCAAGAAGAGAAGAGAGAAAATCCAAATAACCTCACTAAGAAATGAGACAGGAGATATTACAACTGACACCACAGAAATACAAAAGGTCATTCAAGGCTTCTATGAACACCATTACACACACAAACTAGAGAACCTAGAGGAGATGGATAAATTCCTAGAAAGATACAACCCTCCTAGCTTAAATCATGAAGAATTAGATAACCTGAATAGACCAATAACAAGCAGAGAGATTGAAAAGGTAATTAAAATATTACCAACACAAAAAAGTCCAGGACCAGGCTAATTCACAGCTGAATTCTACCGGACATTCAAAGAAGAATTGGTACCAATCCTACTGACACTATTCCACAAGGTAGAGAAAAAGGGAACCCTCCCTAAATCATTCTATGAAGCCAGCATCACCCTAATACCAAAAGCAGGAAGGGACATAACCAAAAAAGAAAACTATAGACCAATATCCCTGATGAACATAGATGCTAAAATTCTTAACAAAATACTAGCTAACTGAATCCAACAACATATCAAAAAAATAATCCACCATCAGCAGGTGGGTTATATACCAGGGATGCAGGAATGGTTTAATATATGCAAGTCAATAAATGTGATACACCACATCAACAGAATTAAAAACAAAAAATCACATGATCATCTCAATAGATGCAGAAAAAGCATTCAACAAAATCTAGCATCCTTTATGATTAAAACTCTCAGCAAAATCGACATAGAAGGAACATACCTAATGAAATAAAAGCCATCTGTGACAAACCCACAGCCAAGATAATACTGAATGGGGAAAGTTGAAAGCATTCCCTCTGAGAACTGGAATAAGACAAGGATGCCCACCCTCACCACTACTCTTCAACACAGTACTGGAAGTCCCAGCCAGAGCAATCAGAAAAGAGAAAGAAATAAGGGGTATCCGGATCCATAAAGAGGAAGTCAAACTGTCTCTGTGTGCTGATATGATTGTATACCAGAAAACCCTAAAGATTCCTCCAGACAGCTCCTTAAACTTATAAAAGAATTCGGCAAAGTTTCTGGATACAAAATTAATGTACACACATTAGTAGCTCTTCTACATATCAATAGCAACCAGGTTGAGAAGCAAATCAAGAATGTAACCCCTTTTATAATAGCTGAAAAGCAAACAAACAAAAAAACAAAAAAGACTTAGGGTTATACCTAACCAAGGAGGTAAAAGACCTCTACAAGGAAAACTACAAAAACACTGCTGAAATAAATCATAGATGACATAAACAAATGGAAATACATCCCATGCTCATGAATGGGTAGAATAAATACTGTGAAAATGACCATACTGCCGAAAGCAATCTACAAATATAACACAATTCCCATCAAAACAGCACTATCATTCTTCACAGAATTAGAATCCCAAAATTCATAAAACCAAAAAAGAGCCCGTATAGCCAAAGCAAGACTAAGCAAAAAGAACACATCTGGAGGCATCACAATACCTGATTTAAACTATACTTTAAGGTCATAGTCACCAAAGCAGCATGGTACTGTTATAAAAATAGGCACATAGACCAATGGAACAGAATAGAGTACCCAGAAATAAACCCAAATACATATAGCCAATTGATCTTCGACAAAGCAAACAAAAACATAAAGTGGGGAAAAGACACCCTTTTCAACAAATGGTGCTGGGATCATTGGCAAGCCACATGTAGGAGAATGAAACTGGATCCTCATCTCTCACCTTATATGAAAATTAAGATGGATTATGAACTTAAATCTAAAACCTAAAACTATAAAAATTCTAGAAATAATATTGGAAAACTCCATGTAGACACTGGCTTAGGCAAGGATTTCATGACCAAACACCCAAAAGCAAATGCCATAAAAACAAAGATAAATAGCTGGGACTTAATTTAAACTAAAGGATCTTTTGCATGGCAAAAGGAGCAGTCAGCAGAGTAAACGGACAACTCACAGAGTGGGAGAAAATCTTCACAATCTATACATCTGACAAAAGACTAATATCCAGAATCTATAATAAACTCAAACAATTCATCAAGAAAAAAAAATCTCATCAAAAAGTGGGCTAAGGACATGAATGGACAATTCTCAAAATAAATACAAATGGCCAACAAGCATTAAAAAAAATGCTTCAAGAGATCGAGACCATCCTGGTCAACATGGTGAAACCCCGTCTCTACTAAAAATACAAAAAATTAGCTGGGCATGGTAGCGCGTGCCTGTAATCCCAGCTACTCAGGAGGCTGAGGCAGGAGAATTGCCTGAACCCAGGAGGCAGAGGTTGCGGTGAGCCGAGATCGCGCCATTGCACTCCAGCCTGGGTTACAAGAGCGAAACTCCGTCTCAAAAAAAAAAAAAAAAAAAAAAAAAAAAATGCTCAACATCACTAATGATCACGGAAATGCAAATAAAAATCTCTGATTTGCAAAGCCCTTGATCCTAACCACTAGTTACAAAAGAGTCTGGCAATCCATCTCCATAGAGAGGGCAGGCACCTTCATTTCCTGAGAGCCTTGTCCCTTCTTGCTAGATGTCTTCCTTACTGTCCACGGTTTACTACCTGTTTTTCCAGGTTTATCAAGAGAGGAACCTAGAGTGATGTGTTCTCCTCTCCCCATCAGACTCTTTTCAAACCAAACCACCACTTTGGGGAAAAGCATTGTTTACTGATTGTTGGATCATATGGTAGTTCTACTTTTAATTTTATGAGGATCTATAAACATTTTAAAAAACAAGAAAACTAGACAAGTAATTTAATCCCAAGGTCACAACGCACAGAAGTCACAATCCTGTGACAGGGTGCCTCCTATCATACCATACAGCCTTCCTACCTCAAGGCATAATCAAAATATGCCCTAGAATTAACTAAACACACACACTGCAAATACAACAGAAACAATACTTGGAACTGGACGTGAGTTGTTTACATGTATCATATTACCTATTATGCCGAAATTCATCACTGCTTCCTTCGGAAGTCTCACTGAGTCCCATAGAGCTTCCTTGGGAAAATAAATAAGTGAAATTCATGAACTCAAAACACATACTTACATAAAAATGATCTCTGAAGGCTTAGCTCTAACCAGGAATCGAGCATCATTACCTCAGCATTGTCTATATAAAAAGTGACACTCTGACTTCCTAGGTTGAAGTCGATCCAAAATTTCTCTAAGCTTTCATCCTCTGGTTTTCTCATCTGTAAGAGATCATTTCAGCATGAATTATACTCTCAAAAATCATGCTAAAGGGTCAGATAAACATTATTCCCTTAAAAATAGAATTTGTGCTTTTCCTGGAACAGTATTATCCTAACATTACAGGCCCTCTCTTTATTGACTGACTCCTTCATGCAAAACGGAATAATCTCAATTTTATAGAACTCAGCCATTTCTCCTCACCTCTCCAAAAATCCCACTATCCATAGCATATTTAATAGATATTTAAATGTGTCACATGATTCTATCCACGCAATTTCTTTTCCAGTGAAAATTACAGAGAAAACAGTTCTATGTTGAATCAGTAACAATCCACACTACACACGGATGGAAACTTCTAGAGGAGGAGATACTGTGACCAAACATGAGTGATTTGCCATCTACCTTCCATCCATTAGAGTAAAGCTAAGACTTGAAGACTTCAAATTTCCTTCATTTTAATTATTATGAAATAAATATATTTACGGTTAAAACAGAGGGAAAAAAATCTAACAGTATGGTATTTATAAAAACAGTAGGCTGGGCACGGTGGCTCAAGCCTGTAATCCCAGCACTGTGGGAGGCCGAGGCAGGTGGATCACAAGGTCAGGCGATCGAGACCATCCTGGTCAACATGGTGAAACCCCATCTCTACTTAAAATAAAAAAAATTAGCTGGGCATGGTGGCACGTGCTAGCTACTCAGGAGGCTGAGGCAGGAGAATCGCCTGAACCCAGGAGGCGGAGGTTGCGGTGAGCGGAGATTGCGCCATTGCACTCCAGCCTGGGTAGCAAGAGCGAAACTCCGCCTAAAAAAAAAACAAAAACAAAAACAGTAAACATCTTCTCTACCCCTCAGCCTTTCATAGGCACCATTAACAATGCCTTTGTTTCCTCCCAGATGTTTTCTAGACATATATCAAGAAATATATATAAAGATATTATTTCCCAACAATAGATAAAACACTAGACTTGCTTTTCTACAACCTGATTTTCCAATAAGTTGTACTTCTTGGACATCTTTCCTTTGCATTGTATATGTCTATCTTTTAATAGCTACAGAGGTGAATGAGGACTTTCACCCACAATACATGTTCCTGGAAGCCAGTGTGAGGGTCAGTGTAAGGGCCCTAATGAAAGTGAATGGAAATTTGGATGTCACAGAAAGAAAGAAAACCAAGCAGAGAGCAGAATCCTCAGACAACCAGAGGGAAAATACACAGAATTAAGACACAGGAATCAGCCTACCACAATCAGTTCTAGAGAGAATTGTACTGTAGCCAGGAATTGACAGCTTAGCTCAGAGAGGCCAAGAAGCGGACTCTGGACTCAAAGCAATGATGAAAGAGGACATTCTGAAGACAGGGTCCAGGAAACCCAAACAAAGTCAAGGTTCCAAGACCTATAAATATTTTAGCCTGAAACTGAGATACTGTAGGATGAGGCTCTTTTATATGAAGGACCTTTTTCCTCTAGAAACCAAATTGTGGGGGTGGGAGAAGACACTGGCCAACCTTGGAGTATAAAGTGCAAGGTAGAGTGAGCTAGAGAGAAAGGAAAGTGGCCTCGAGTGTTACAAATAAGAGGGAAAGGCATAAACTAGAAGGAAAGCAGCAAGGAAATCATCCTTTTTACCCCAGTCTAGGCAGGAATTATGTCACCCATGAATAGGGAAAATGAGGCAGGCTTCCTGTAACTGTCCTCATGTATACAGTACAGACCCTCAAATTCCTTTTTCCAGTAGTAATAGTAAAGCCCTTAAACTTACTGGTAATGCGTTCTGGTTAGGGTACGGTATGATCAGTTTGAGAACTGAGGTCACTAGAAGGAAAAGTTAGCATCCTTTTTAAAATGCCCTTTGGAGTTATGAGAGTAGAAGTCTAACCTAACCATATAACCTAACCTAACCACTGGTTTCACTGCACCCTCAGGATCTCCAAAAGAGAGGAACATACCTCATGCTCATCAGCAAAGGCCGCAATACACGGAAATGAATACACCCTGCAAAATATTTCACAATTAAAAAATAAAATATGGATGAACCTTAAACACATCTACAGATGTTCTGCAACAAGCACTTCTAACCAGAGTCTGCCATTAAGTCTCCTCCTACAGACTATGGTAACGGGTTTCAAGCCTGCAAATGGAGATCTACTATGGGTAGATTTCAAATCTCCATCTGGCAGTCAATAAGCCAAGTTTACTAGCACTGTATCTCAACCCAGTTACTCAGCCAGATTTCCAAACAAAAGGAGTGAATTTAGCAAATAGTGTCTGACCAAGGACTTAATTGTTCATGATACAACTACTTCCAGCAACCTCAAGTCAGAAATGGTTCTTCATAAAATCTATGGACTCTCTAAAGAATGTATTATTTTAAAATACCCCAAGTCACAAATATAATAAAACTGATAGAGTTTCTCTTTTTTTTTTTTTGAGATGGAGTCTTGTTCTGTCACCCAGGCTGCAGTGACGTGATCTCAGTCACTGCAACCTCTGCTTCCCGGGTTTAAGCCATTCTCCTGCCTCAGCCTCCTGAATAGCTGGGATTACAGGTGCTAATTTGTTTTGTTTTGGGGTTTTTTTGTATTGTTAGTAGAGATGGGGTTTCATCATGTTGGTCAGGCTGGTCTTGAACTCCTGACCTCGTGATCTGCCTGCCTCAGCCTCCTAAAGTGCTGGGATTACAGACGTGAGCCACCACTCCCGGCCGATAGAGATAATTTTTAAACACCCACCAACAAGCCACTAGGCAGAAAGGGTCTGATACTCTCAAGTTGCTACTCAAGGGACAACTGAGTATGCTCCGTAAATGACGTACCCAATATTCACTCCAAACAGACCCTAAACTGTTCTTTTAAAAGATTAGACCTTTTCAGAATACAGCTAGTCAATAATGCTCAAAGACACAACTTACCTTCTTTGGTCACCAAGTCTGTTGTTTAGGTGATTGAGAAAACGTCTACTGTCCTTCAAAGCAAATGATATACAATCTTTTATTTAAAAAAAATCAAGATGTCTTAGTTAATACAATCTTAGCATATAGAGGCCTGTGTTTGCTTCTAAATGTCCAGAATGCAGTCACATCAATGAGGTTTTACAAGGATTTGTTATTACATGTTAACAATACTTTATGCTACCAAGAGGAGGCTCCAGGATCATGTTTCCAGAAGAAACCTCTGCTCCCTGTAGCCATTAGATTTTCAGCTGAGGAATACACTCAGGTCTTCAAAAGATAAATGCCTGGTTATATTTCACTGGGTCAGAAGAGTAAGCAAGATAAATACATCTTACTGATGACCCAGGTTACAAGATTTGACCAACCCATTGGGCGCCTACCTCCCCAACACCTGCATAGCACAAACCAACCACAAACCTATAAAATTATCAACTTTGGGTTGATCTGGGTGTGTTATCTACTGCCAATTTTCCTTTTCGGGAGTTCTCTATACCATTCCCTTCTCTGTTCCCCTCCCTTCTCCTGGCATATGTTCTAAGAACAAAGACTATTATTAGAGTTCTAACCAACAGCTCTCAGGAAGAAATTTGTTACCCCAACATTCTAAAAACAAAGAGACACAGATCCAAGTTTTTGTTCCCTTTTGTTAGCAAGAATTGGCTGTTGGAGTCAGCATTCCTTATGCTCCTGATGTACCATTCAGTAGTAAAGAGACATCAGCAGTGTGAGCCTTTCATGTAAAAGCAATGGAATTGAGAATTTGATAGCTCTGGAGAAGGAAATGATTTTAGAAACAAGAAAAGTATACCTCTCTATTTTCTTTTTTTTTTTTTTTTTAATTTTATTATTATTTTTTTTTTACCTCTCTATTTTCATCAAATTTCCCTGCAAGTGAGAAATGAAAAACAGCAGAAAGGAAATTAACATGTGAATGCCTACAACAGTCCTGGACCTTTCAGTCTCCCTCATGGAGTCCTCATGACCTTGGGGTGGGCTTTAGTCCTACTTTACAGATGAGGTCACTCAGGCTTCACAAGTCAACTACCTTGTCAAAATGTGTACATCCCAACAAATTACAGAGGTTGAGCCTCAAACTCGAGGCTCAACCCCAGTCTGGAATAGCCCCAAAGCTCACAGTCTTTCCATTGCAATTATACAAAATATAATGGCTAAATAATTACTACATGCAGTATACGACAACAGGCTTAGAGTCTGAGGAAGTAGAAAGGTCCATGGTTAATAAAAATCCTGGATACATAGCAATTTTGACCAGAAAGGTTTTCTCAACATAAGTACTGTTATTAAGAATTTTGCCTTTTCCTACAACAGGCTAACCTTTTTTTGTTTTTTAGACAGAGTCTCGCTCTGTCACCCAGGCTGGCGTGCAATCGCACGATCTCGGCTCACTGCAACCTCTGCCTCCCGAGTTCAAGCAATTCTCCTGCCTCGGCCTCCTGAGTAGCTGGGATTACTGGCACGAGCCACCGCACCCGACTAATTTTCGTATTTTTAGTAGAGATGTGGTTTCACCACATGGCTAGGCTGGTCTCAAACTCCCGACATCCCGATCTACCTGCCTCAGCCTTCCAAAGTGCTGAGATTACTGGCAGGAGCCACTGCACCCGGCCCCTAACCCTCATTTTAAAAACTTTTTAAAAGAAGAGGGAAAATGTTTTAGCTATTTTAGGATGAAGGTGAATACACAACAAAGCCATAAGCTTTTTTTTTTTTTTTTTCCTTTGAGGCTTGAGGACACAATTACAAGAAGCCCAGGTTGCAGAGACGACACTGAAAAGTACTGTCTCTGAGCCAATGGCAGAGGCCAGATGGCTCAGATCACAACCACCCCATAATATTCCTCTGCCAGGCCATGTCCATCTCAGCCTCCTGCCATCACAGCAGCTGCCTCTGCAAGACAAAAATACCCTAATTTCTTCTTCAAGTCTCCCTATCCTTCAAGGTCCGTCGAAAACTGCTCACCCTTGCAAGACATCTTTTTTAACTGGATCCATCAAATTCACCTAGTTCTGTCTCCTAAAAAGAAGTCCTGTCCAGGGACTCATGCCTATAATTCCAGCACTTTGGGAGGCCAAGGTGGATGGATCGCCTGAGGTCAGGAGTTCGAGATCAGACTGGCCATCAAGGCTAAACCCGGTTTCTACTAAAAATAAAACATTAGCTACATATGGTGGCAGGCGCCTGTAATCCCAGCTACTCAGGAGGCTGAGGCAGGAGAATCACTTGAACCCAGGAGGCAGAGGTTGCAGTGAGCTGAGACTGCACCACTGTACTCCAGCCTGGGCAACAGAATAAGACTCTGTCTCAAAAAAAAAAAAAAAAAAAAAAAAAAAAAAGTCCTATCTGTATCCCCACATCTAGCTCACAAATACTCTGTTTATATTGCCTTCAAATTGTTTACCTTAAGTAGGAAACAAGAAGTTTAAGAATAGTAATGTAATCACACTTGAGCAAAAAATCCTCCCCTAAGCCCAACACACAGCAAAGTTCTGAAAGGTCGCTTAATAAATATTGGCTAAACAGAAATTTGCATGACCAGGAATCTCACCGTCTCAAATTCTCGACCCTTAATTTCTTTGAAAGCTTCAGCAATGACTTCATCATCAAACCATTTATGGACAAGGTCATCCCTTGAATTTTTAATTGTCAGTCTACACAGCGCTTCAGTTATAGCAACCTGCTGGTCATAATCTAGAGATTAAAAACATGGTAGATAGAAATAATTCTGGGCACAAAGCAAAAGAAAAAATGAGTTCCAGAGTTAGCACTTGCTCTAAGAAACCACCTGAGAAGCCTAGCATTATGTCTTAGAGGTATCCACAGCAAGATGCATCCTAGAGTAACTAGAAGCTGGTTTTTTTTTGTTTGTTTGTTTTTGTTTTTTTTAAGAGAGAGTGAGTCTCACTCTGTCACCCTGGATGGCAGTGGTAGCTGGAGTGCAGTGGCCCAATCTCAACTCTCTGCAACCTTTGCCTCCTGGGTTGAAGTGATTCTCCTGCCTCGGTCTCCCAAGAAGCTGGAATTACAGGCATGTGTCACTATGCCTGGCTAATTTTTATATTTTTAGTACAGACAGGGTTTTGCCATGTTGGTCAGGCTGGTCTTGAACTTCTGGGTTCAAGCAATCTGACCACCTCGGCCTCCCAAAGTGCTGAGATTAAAGGTGTGAGCAACCCCACCCAGCCACAATCATTTAAATTCAATATTTAAGAAATACAATAAAAATCTAAACAAGAGGTTGGCATATAACAATTTTTAAATAAATAATATTTATGGATGTTATATTTTAGATATATTAAAATAGTCATCCAAAGCAAATCATCCAACAGCCTTAAAAATGTTTCTACTGGCCAGGCACAGTGGCTCATGCCTGTAAAACCAGCACTTTGGGAGGCTGAGGCAGGTGGATCACCTGAGGTCAGGAGTTAGAGACCAGTCTAGCCAACATGGCGAAACCTCATCTCTACTAAAAATACAAAAATCATCCAGGCATCGTGGTGGGCACCTGTAATCCCAGCTACTTGGGAGGCTGAGGCAGGAGAATCGCTTGAACCCGGGAGGCAGAGGTTGCAGTGAGCCAAGACGGCACCATTGCATTCTAGCCTGGGCAACAAGAGCAAAACTCCGTCTCAAACAAACAAACAAAAAAGTTTCTACTACAAAACAAAATCCCAAAATAACTTGTAGTATTTCACAGCAAATAAACTAAAACTACATGTAGCAACACGTTTAAATTTCGCCACAGCCCAGTAGAATGGCATTTATAGGATGCTTTTAAAATCTGCCAAATAATAATGTACATCGTTTAGGGATCTACAGAGTAAAAGTAGAAAAACATGCTTGGGAACAAAAACAAATCTGAGTCCCAGAGAGGGAAATGATACGAGGAACATGGACACAGGGGACTTTATCCATGACACTGATTTTCTTTAATTTAAAAACAGACTTGAAGCTAATGTGCTAAAATGCTAAATTTTGCCAAAGCTGGCTGGTGAGTAAATGAGTATTCACCAATTATTCTTTACAGTTTTCAGCATGCTAAAATCTCTCAAAATAAATTTAGAATAAAACCTTAATTCCTATCTTCAATTTGACCATAATTTATTCCCCATAGTCCCAAGATGCTCATAAAAGCCCCAGTGTCCAATATTTAATATTCTAATATTTAAAATTCTGAATGTTTCTTACCACCCACAGTCAACAGTGTCCTTGCAAGGTCTTCCCTGAAACATTTAGATAAATCACATTTAACTGAAGTAAACATCAAGAGTAAAACTTCATTATACTAGCAGTAAACTTTAAAAGCAAAATATGTTTCTGAAACTATTTCAAATTTAGCATCAGAATTTCCTTAACGTCAATAATACATATTTATGAAAAAACCTTCTCAAGTTTATATATTAATGACCTAGGAGTTATTTTATAAGAAGCTAGAACTACTATACACACTCTGAGGTTCTGTTTTCCCTCTTGCAAAAGGAATTCAATCTGATGATCTCTGAGGGTTCATCAAATTAATTCTGGAGTTTTCTAATCACCTCACAACGTGTGAGGGCATACATCCTTTTACATAGTTTGATACATCCAGGAAATGATAGACAGTGATTCTTTCCTATGATCTACTTGATCTTATTTTAAAAACTAATTTGGAGATGTAATAGGATGAAGTTATTACATTATTGTAACTAATGCAGACTCCTGAATTGTATATTCACTTAGAATTTCACATAAATGCTAACAAGTGTGAAAGTGTGAGTCAATCTTTTTTTTTTTTTTTTTTTTGAGACTGAGTCTGGTTCTGTCACCCAGGCTGGAGTACAATGGCATGCTCTCGACTCACTGCAACCTCTGCCTCCCAGGGTCAGGTGATTCTCCTGCCTCAGCCTCCTAAGTAGCTAGGATTACAGGCACCGGCCACCATACCCAGCTAATGTTTTGTATTTTTAATAGAGGTGGGGTTTCACCATATTGGTCAGTCTGGTCTCGAACTCAAGTGATCCACCCACCTTGGCCTCCCAAAGTGCTGAGATTACAGGCGTGAGTCACTATGCCTGGCTGAGCTGATCTTCTTTTAATGCCTGAAATAACTCCTATTTTAAAGAACAGATTTGTTGAGAAACCTTGTGATAGTTCAGTCTCTCATAAGGAGGAGATTGATTTGTTACTATTAAATAGAAGCCAGAAAACAGTACCATTGAGCAAAATTAATTCTGCTTAATTTTATGCTTGCAGGTTTTACCTTTGAAGTCCGGAACATTCCAGGCTTTCTAGATCACACAGACAATAAAGTAGAGTGTTCAAAGATTAGTTTGAAAACTTAGGAGAAAACATGAGATCAGCTGCTCTCTCAATCTAAATACACCACTAAGAGTAGTGATTTCAGTAATGTATTAAATAATAATTTGTTTAGGAAAAATGCAGTGTAAAAACTATATCTGGAAAAGACTAGAAGGACAAACACAATGGCAGTGAGTTCCATGCTCACCAATTACCCATTCAGGCCCTACACTGTGGCCACACACCACGTAAATATGTGCCACAATGATGTCCTCCATGCTGGCTCGTGGTTGGCGCAGCCACAGGTCCAGTTCCAACTTCAAAGCAGGGTGCTGGGTTTTGTTGTTTCTATGGTCACACATTACCACCTTACCTCCAAATCTCACATTCCAAGACCCATGCAACAGTTTAGGTCACCAAAATAAACAAAAAAAAATCTATCACTTGAAAAGCAATCAAAATTTGGCCGGGTGCAGTGGCTCACGCCTGTAATCCCAGCACTTCGGGAGGCCAAGGCAGGAAGTTCAAGACCAGACTGGTCAACATGGTAAAACCTCGTCTCTACTGAGAATACAAAATTAGCAGGGCATGGTGGTACATGCCTGTAATCCCAGCTACTCAGGAGGCTGAGGCAGGAAAACTGCTGGAACCTGGGAGGCAGAGATTGTAGTGAGCTGAGATCATGCCACTGCACTCCAGCCTGGGCAACAAGAGCAAAACTCCATCTCAAAAAAAAAAAAAAAAAAAGAAAAGAAAAGCAATAAAAATTTCATGCCCTATTAGTGCAGCTACTGGAAACCTTGGGGCACTTACTCTTTAGCAGATAATGTGCTAATCACTTTAAATGGATTGCTTGATTTAACCTTCACAGTAACTCTATCAAGTAGGTATTATTTTGACTCCATTTTACAGGCAAACGAACTGAGGTATGATTAAGTTAGGGCTGTGCTCCTAGACAACAGGTGAAAGTGGCAAAACTAGGATTTGAAGTCAAGCAGTTGGGCCAACGGTCTGCACTCTTAACATTCTCCCAAGACACTCTCATTTAGCTCACATTTACAATGAAAAAATATAGCCTGAGAAAGTACTGTGCCTCAAAACTTTGATGCAAAAAGAAACAAACAAACAAAATTCATAATATTAAAAAAGGAAAAATCAGCAGAGCGCGGTGGCTCATGCCTGTAATTCCAGCACTTTGAGAGGCCAAGGTAGGCGGATCAGGAGGTCTCGAGTTCGAGACCAGCCTAGCCAACATGGTGAAACCCCATCTCTACTAAAAATACAAAAATTAGCCAGGCACGGTGGCAGGCACCTGTAATCCCAGCTACCCGGGAGGCTGAGGCAAGAGAATTGGTTGAACCCAGGAGGCAGAGGTTGCAGCGAGCTGAAACTGCACCATTGCACTCCAGCCTGGACAACAGAGTGAGACTCCGTTTCAAAAAAAAGAAAAGGAAAAATCTAGCAACGTCTTCTTTTTACCTCAGCCCCTCTTTATCACCTAGCATAGTGCCTGACACGTAATAGGTGCACAAAGCATTTACCAAAGAGAGAAAGGGCATAATCAGGTCTAAAGAGAACCAAGATTGAAATCATACAATCATGAGGGATGTTACCCTTCCTACAGCACATACTTATATAAAGCCACTTACATAAGATGACACGTGCCTTCTGACAAAGGGAATTTTTTTCTCTCTTCCTGAGGTACAGCATGCAAAATGCAGTTAAAAGTCTTCAAGGCCTTTTTGGAATTGAATAGGCATTACATGGAGAAGGAACAAAACAGAGACCTATGTCCAATCTTCTCTAAGGTTTTCAGAGCTGCTGTTATCTGTTTTGTGATCTGCGACTCACCTCCTGTTGAATCAAATGATTTCCAGTCTTTTCTGTCACCAGGAATCCTAAGCTAAGTAGGAAGGAATCCAACATCTGAATTTTCCCTGAAAGTACAATTTCAAAGAATCAAACTTATGTTTCAAAGAGTAAGAAAATGACTCCCACACACGGTCACGGCTTTTGGTTGCTTGAGGATGTCCTTCTTGCTTTAATACAATGTAACTCACCTTGCAGCCTATGCCCTTACAATCCTGTTGCCTTCTGGTATTAAGGGTTGTAAGCATGTGCACACATGCATACACACCTTTTTTTGGGGGGGCGGGGATGGAGTCTTACTCTGTCCTCCAGGCCGGAGTGCAGTGGCATGATCTCTGCTCACTGCAACCTCCACCTCCCAGGTTCAAGCAGTTCTCCTGCCTCAGCCTCCTGAGTGGCTGGGACAGCAGGTGCATGCCACCATGCCCAGCTAATTTTTTGTATCTTTAGTAGAGATGGGTTTTCACCATGTTAGCCAGGATGGTCTCGATCTCCTACCTCGACACACATTTATTTTACATGGTTCTTGGTGACTTATTTTGAAATCAAATCTTACTTTTTCTCCGGAAAATTAATTCTTTGATACTTTTAGTACAGCAGACTTTCTCAACTTTGGCAATATTGACATTTCGAGACAGGTAATTCTTCTAAGAAGAACTTGAGAACTGCTGTCAAAATGCAGGGGGAAAAAATGAGTGAGGGAGAGATGCACACGAGGATAAAAACAAAGATGTGACAGATAATCTTACAAAGAGGGAAGAGAAAGTAGCTGTAATGGACTTCTTGGTGGCCCGCCCGCCATCCTTCCCCCCTCCTCTGTTACGGAGCAGTTATACTATTTGGGTGAGACCCATCAGTTCTAGGGGCAAGTCCTGACTGGCTTAAACTAGGCAGAGGCAGCCCATTTATCTTTTCATAGTGACTGGTTCATTTGGAGGTCAGGACATCCAATCAGAGGAAAGCTAGGTCTTTTGTTTTCTGGTTGAAGGAAGTGAACCTTTCTCCCCAAGATGTGAACCCGGAAGCACAAAGTTCTGGTTGCAACCACCAAGGGAAACCACCTTGAGAGCAAGGACTAGACTCTGAGAAAGCCAGAACTGAAAGAGACGGAGTGGAGCCACTCCATTTCCAAACTGCCCACCTCTGGACTTTTTAGTTCCTTGAGCCAGTAAATCGTCTTTATTATTTAAGCCTATTTGAACTAGATCTTCTGTTAAACATATCCAAAGCACTCTACCTCAGTAGCTGTCAGCTAGAGATGATTTTGCCCCACGGAGGACACTTCACAATGTCTGGAGATGTTTTTGGCTGTCATGACTTGGGGGTGAATGCTCTTGGCATCTAGAGGGTAGAGGCCAGGGATGCCGCCAAACACCCTCTGGTGTACAGGATAGCACCCATGACAAAGAATTACCTGGTTCAAGATGTCTATATTGCCAAAATAGAGGAACTCTGTTGTAATAAAAGTGTCAAAGAATGAATTTTCCTGAGCTAAAGTAAGATTTGGCTTCAAAACAAGTCACCAAGAACCATGTAAAATAAACATGCTTTCAACCCTTAATATTAGAAGATAATGCAACAGGATTGTAAGAGGCATAGCCTGCAGAGTGAGAGTGGCATTGTATAAAAGCCAGAAAGATATCTTCAAACGACGAAAAGCCCTGACCATGTCCCTCCCCACACCCTAATAATACTCTTACATTTAGTTAACACATTCAATTTGTCTTATACAAAGAAAAAATAATTTTGATGTTAGTACTCGAGAGTGACTACCAGTAAAAGTAGGACATAAGCCATTCAAATCACGAGAGACAAACTGAAAGACAGTCATAATCCACGTAGCAGAACACAAACAAAAGAATCATAAAAAATCAAGATGACAATGTAAGTTTCAGAACACAAAGGGAGGAGTGGTTAATTTTGTCAATTGCAGAAGGAGGTGGGAAGAAATTCAGTAAAAAACATTTCTACTTTTGAGAGAGGGATTAGATATTAGCTTGGCAGAGCCTGGGCAGGAAAGACCCAAGACAACGGTCAAAGGCACATGTGAAAACCTGTCAGTTGCAGAGAGGTCGGCCCTGCTAAGGCGATCAGAGTGGGCTTTAAGCACAAATCTTCATTGCTATAGATGGGACTATAATTCATATGTTGGAGCCTTAACCCTCAATGTGATGGTGTTTGAGATGGGGCCTTTGGTAAGGGAAGTTTAGATAAGGTCGCAAGGATGAGATCCTCATGATGGGATGAGTGCCATTTTAAGAGGTCTGGCTTGGTCCTGGCATGGTGACTCATACCTGTAATCCCAGCACTTTGGGAGGCTGAGGTGGGTGGATCACCTGGGATCAGGAGTTCAAGATCAGCCTGGCCAAACACAGTGAAACTCGTCTCTACTAAAATTCAAAAATTAGCCGGGCATGGTAGCACATGCTTATAATCCCAGCTATTCACGAGGCTGAGGCAGAAGAATAGCTTGAACCCTGAAGGCAGAGGTTGCAGTGAGCTGAGAATGTGCCACTGCACTCCAGCCTGAGCAACAGAGGGAAACTGTCTCAAAACAACAACAGCAACAACAACTCTGGCTCTCTGTCTACCTTATAAGCCCACAGCAAGAAGCCAGGTCTCTGTTCACCATGTAGGCACATAGCAAGAAGCTAGGAAGAGGCCATCACCAGAACCCAACCATGCTGGTACCCTAATCTCTTACTTCTAGCTTCCAGAAATAAATGCCTGTTGTTTTAGCCTCCCTCTCGATGGTTATAGCGGTCTAATTGGACTAACACAGCCATCTAAACCAGTGTTTCCTCTACCATGGGCAATGAAAGTCATTATATAGGATTACATGAATCTATAAATGCACCAATGACTGTAGACTGAATAGATGGCTCCCAGGTGCACTGTTTTTCAAATATGCAGTATATACATATTGTTGGGATTAATAAAAAGCAAGTTTATTTTAAAATGCTACAAAAATCAAATACTTTTTTACCATTGTGCATTTTATCAACCAGTTTTAAAGACAGCAGCTATCATTCTGGTGTTCATAAAACTTTGACTTGAAAATATTTGGAGCCACTGACTTGAATTATGAGGACCAACCGAGTCAACAAAGTTTTAAAGTCAACCAAGCCCAGTGCATGCTTCAGCTTCCAGTACTGAATTTCAACTTGCAGAATGTAGTGTCAATTCATGACAGCCTTACAGAAGAAAACCAGAAACATGTACCATAGGAAAAAGACTTATCAAGATGGCTCCAATTTCCAAAATGTTTAAATATGTAAGTGTGTCTTTGAATCCATGGTATAATTCGAATGCCAAGTTACTTTTTTTTTTTTTTTTGAGACAGGGTCTTGCTGTCAGCGAGGCTGGATGGAGTGGCAATGATCATGACTCACTGCAGCCTCAGACTCTGGAGCTCAAGTGATCCTCCCACCTCAGCCTCCCAGGCAGCTGGGACTACAGGTGCATGCCACCACACCTCGATAATTTTTTGTAGAGATGGGGGTCTTATTACGTTCCCTGGACTAGTGTTGAACTTCTGGATGCCATCAATCCTCCCTCCTCAGCCTCTGAAAGTGCTTGAATTACAGCCGTGAACCACTGCACCCAGCATAATTACCTTTAACTTGAGCTGTATTGAACAAAATCAATCTAGCCTCCAAAGTTTCTAAAAATTTACCTTTTACACTCTTGAAAGACAAAAAAAAGCATGTGAGTCAGCTCCAAGTTAAATTAGTAGTAGCTAAATTTTGCATATTTGAATAACAAAATGACTTTCTATTACCTGAACAGAGCTAGCCATATGTCAAGAGCAGCTAAATAAACATGTTTCTCAGGGCTGGGTGTGGGCGCTCACACCTATAATGCCAGTACTTTGAGAGGTCAAGCCGATGGATCATCTGAGGTCAGGAGTTTGAGACCAGACTAACACGGTGAAACACCGTCTCTATTAAATACAAAAAATTAGCCGGGTATGGTGGCACATGCCTATAATCCCAGCTACTTGGGAGGCTGAGGCAGGAGAATCACTTGAACCCAGGAGGCGGAGATTGCAGTGAGCCGAGATTGAGCAATTGCACTCCAGCCTGGGCAACAGGAATGAAACTCCATCCAAAAAAAAAAAAAGGCCAGGCACGGTGGCTCACACCTGCAATCCCAGCATTTTGGAAGGCTTAGGTGGGCAGATCACAAGGTCAGGAGATCAAGACCATCCTGGCTAACACAGTGAAATCCTGTCTCTACTAAAAATACAAAACATTAGCCGGGTGTTGTGGCATGCACCTGTAGTCCCAGCTGCTTGGGAGGCTGAGGCAGGAGAATTGCTTAAAACAGTGAGGTGGAGGTTGTAGTGAGCCGAGATCGTGCCACTGCACTCCAGCCTGGGTGACAGAGCAAGACTCCGTCTCAAAAAAAAAAAAGCTTCTCAGAAAAAAAGACTTTTTTCTATAATGAAATGCATTTCCAAATGACACCATGATGACCATCAAGTGGTCGATAAATCCAAATACAATGTTTAAACTCACTTTTATTTTTATATATCATTTAAATATTCTTTTCTCTGTGCCAGAATATCCTATTAATGAAAAATTAATAGCCAATTAGTAGCCAACAATATACTTACCTTCACTACTACTCTTGGAAATAATCTAATAAAAAGAAAGAAAAAATAAAGCTCGTATTATTTTAAAACAGCATGATAAACTATAATATGAATGTATTAGTGTTAACTTTCTCTAATAGGCAGGTATTGACTTTACAGAAGAATTTTAGAGAAAGCCTAGTCGAGCCTTAATCACATCCTTATAATATGCATATCACTCTCAATCAGGTGACTAATATATTATTTGTATGTATGAAAATAAATAACCTCTCATTTTTCTTTAACATTGTTTATATAGCTTCTTACTATGTCATATTTAATAATATTCTAATAATAAAACATGAGAGTCTTCTTTTTCTGAGACAGTTTCACTCTTGTTGAAACTCAGGCTGGGGTGCAGTCACACCGTCTTGGCTTAACCCAACCTCCACCTCCCCGGTTCAAGCGACTCTCCTGCCTCAGTCTCTGAAGTAGCTGGGATTACACCACTACACCTGGCTAATTTCTGTATTTCAGTAGAGACAGGGTTTCATCACATTGGCCAGGCTGGTCTCGAACTCCTGACCTCAGGTGATCCACCCGACTTGCCTCCCACAGTGCTGGGATTATAGGCGTGAGCCACCACACCTGGCCACATGACAGTCTTTTGACAAAACTTGCATACCAGAGAAAACCATGTTTTATAAATAACTTGAAGATTCCTGCCAATTACTAGTGGTATTTGCTCAGTGAAGCATCCATCCCCTCCTTACCAACGCTGTGTCGAAGAAGTCTTCTATAACACGAATCAGTGATGTGTCTGAGGCTAAGGCTTCTGAGGTCAGAATTCCTCTTGTTCTTTCAAACCAGAAAACTAGGTACACAGGAAAACACTAACGTAACTACATAAGACTAAAGGCTTCCTATTCAATAAAATTTCACAAGACAATTTTCTCATTAGAAAACAATAATCTTAAAGATCTTTTTCCACTCCGTTCCATTCCAATGAGGCCTGGCTCTGAGGCTTCCCACCCAGAACACTTCAGGATGGTGCCATACCATGAGAGCTATGGTAAGTAAGCGCTCAGAGATCAGCAGGAAATAGAGACCCAGCCAGGATATCAGAAAGCCATATAAAGGGACTAGTGAGGAACATTTCAGAGATAAATGAGGCCAGGCATGGTGGCGCACATCTGTAATCCCAGCACTTTGGGAGGCTGAGGCAGGGGGATCACTTGAGGCCAGGAGTTCAAGAACAGCATGGGAAATTCATCTCTGCAAAAAATATAAAAATTAGCTGGGCATGGTGGTGCACACCTCTAGTCCCAGCTACTTGGGAGGCTGAGGTGTGAGGATCACTTGAGCCCAGGAGGTCAACACTATAGAAAGTGCTGTGATCACATCACTGCACTCCAGCCTGGGTGACAGAGCAAGACCCCCTCTCCAAAAAAAAACAAAAACAAAAACAAAAACAAAAAACAGAAAACAAAAAAGGAGATGAATGAACCGCCCCAGCACAGGGGAAGAAAAATCTTGCAATCTGAGAATCTGGTGAAAACAAACTATCAAAGAAAATACAGAATTTGGAAAGTTCTCAGAAGTATTTGTGGTTACAACAAATATGCCTCAGGCCTAGGTATCTTTCTTTTGTGAAAAGCTTCCAGCAAATTAGAGATTTTTTTTTTCCTATAGGAATATATATCCAATTTATTATTAAATTGCTGGGATTGGTATAATTTAAAATAAACTCTAACCTTCCCTCTCCCACCTCAGAATATACAGTATTTACTCAATAAAGCAAAAGCCATCTTATTTTTCCCATCATTTTTGCTGAGACAGGTCACTCTTAGAAAAAAAAAAAATTAAGAAAAATCCTGCAGGCATAGTTAGAAATCATCAATTAAACATGACATCAGTCACATGAGTTTCTCAAGAACAATTCTTGCAGGAGTCAGGCCTTCAAAACTTTGTTTACTTTAGGCCAAGAACCTGACACACCCAGGCTGAAGATAAATAAACCAGTTTTCAACCTTGGCTGTGCATTAGGAAAACCTGGGGAGTTAGGAAACATCCCCCAACCCTCAAAGCCTGGGACCTATCCCAGACCCAGTCATCAGAATCACTGGTGTTATACCCCAACCTGAGTTTTCTATTTTAGGTTTAAGTATGTTTGTGAAGGCTCTCCAGGTAACTGTAATGTACAGCAAGTTTTGAAAGCCATTACTACGTTCCAAGTAAGGTTTCTTTTGTCTCAAATCAGACAAATACATGCATTAGATTGAATCATCCACCTTCTGAAGAAAGGTTTTCTCCAATAACACAAGAGAAGAAATGCCCCTCTCTGCAGCAGAACTCACTACTAAGGCTCTATTTGCTCCCTCCCTATGTTCATGCTCAAAATTCGATGCTTTTTAAATACACTGCCACCACTCCATGTATCCCTCCCTCTAAAGCCTGTCACCCTCCCAGTACCCTCCCAAATACACTGGTTGAGTAGACACAGAAGTGGTAGAAAGGCTGCACTATCTCATCAGTACTTGGGAACAGGAAGTTCTCACTGAACCCATTTATGTGCCCTGGTCACACTTGTCTAACAGACACTCCAGCTCTCCCAACAGCTATATCATTACTAGATGCCAGACAACAATAGCAATGACTTAGCAATATGATATCAGACAAGTTGCTTCATCCTCCTGGATTTTAAGGTACAGGACTAAAGATACTCCTTTCTGTAGAGAATTTTTTTTTTTTTTCTTTTTGAGATAGGATCTCACTCTGTCATCCAGACTGGAGTGCAGTGGCATGACCTGGGCTCACTACAATCTTCTGGCTCAAGCAATTCTCCTGCCTCAGCTGCCCGAGTAGCTGGGATTACAGGAACGTGCTACTACTGCCCAGCTAATTTTTGTATTTTTTAGTAAAGATGAGGTTTCAATATGTTGGCAGGGCTGGTCTCGAACTCCTGATCTCAGATGATCCACCCACCTCAACCTCCCAGAGTGCTGGGATTACAGGTGTGAGCCACTGTGCCCAGCCAGGAATCCTTATTCTATGGAGTAGAACTTCCAAGCACACTTTGTGTTGCATCTGCAAACACAACTGTCCTTAGAAGTATAGAGTCTAGGCTGGGCATGGTGGCTCACACCTGTAATCCCAGGGAGGATTAAGGGGGGGAGGCTGAGGCGGGCAGATCACTTGAGGTCAAGAGTTTGAAACCAGCCCTGCCAACATGGTAAAACCCTGTCTTTACTAAAAATACAAAAATGAGCTGGGCATGGTGGTAGGTGCCTGAAAACCCAGCTACTCCAGAAGCTGAGGCAGGAGAATTGCTTGAGCCCAGGAGGCAGAGGTTGCAGTGAGCCAAGATCACATCACTGCGCTCTAGCCTGGGTGACAAGATTAATACTCTGTCTCTGAAAAAAAAAAAAAAAAAGGAAAAAAGAAAGAAAAGAGGTATAGAGTCTAGTATCCATTCTCTTTGATAATGTTGATCTACTGCCAAAACCTATGTGAAAGAATGTATCTAAATGTCCATCACCAACTAGAATTCCAGTGGAATATGGAAATTCTTCCTTGATTTCAAAACTCCAGTAGGGATTTGATCTGACACTTTTTTAAACCGTGGGAGGGAATTCTTTTTTTTTTTTTTTTTTTTTTTTGAGATGGAGTTTCGCTCTTGTTACCCAGGCTGGAGTGCAATGGCGCGATCTCGGCTCACCGCAACCTCCGCCTCCTGGGTTCAGGCAATTCTCCTGCCTCAGCCTCCCGAGTAGCTGGGATTACAGGCACACACCACCACGCCCAGCTAGTTTTTGTATTTTTAGTAGAGACGGGGTTTCACCATGTTGACCAGGATGGTCTCGATCTCTCGACCTCGTGATTCACCCGCCTCGGCCTCCCAAAGTGCTGGGATTACAGGCGTGAGCCACCGCGCCCGGCCTAGTGGGAGGGAATTCTTAAGGCAAAATAGAAAAGTTGGGTTGGGGCATATTCCTATTCATACCCCAAAAAGTCAGCTTAGGGTTCCAAAGTACACTTAGGACATCTCGGCTTCGTTTCCTTTGAGGTTTATCTCCTTTCCTCTGCTTCCTATTATCTGCATAAGTCAGTGTATCAGCAGGTCAAGTGGGGTTAAATGCAAAATGAAATATATACGGTTTGCATAAGCACAGTCTTTAATTCCCCCTGCAAACACTTACAGTCCCTGAAAGCAGTTTGGAAAAACCCGGAGTTTGTTTTCTCTTCTGAGGGGGTAGCTCCATAATTAGATGCATTTTAGAATATTAAAGGGCAGAGACACATCTTGGCCCAATCTGGCCTTAATAAACTTCAGGTACTTGAGCTCCAGGGGTAAATCACAGACATTATTAGCAGCCAGATCATCCTTCCACCCTACTTCTTCCCCACCCCTCCTCATCAATAAACAAACTTGTCTCTGGGCTGCAAAACCCTCACCATTAAAAGAGGGGAACTGCAGCCAGGTGAGGTGGTTCACACCTGTAATCCCAGCACTTTGGGAGGCCAACGCGGGTGGATCACTAGATCAAGAAATGGAGATCATCCTGGCCAACATGGTGAAACCCCATCTCTACTAAAAACACAAAAATTAGCCGGGCATGGTGGCATGCACCTGTAATCCCAGCTACTCAGGAGGCTGAGGCAGGGGAATTGCTTGAACTTGGGAGGCAGAGGTTGCAGTGAGCCAAGGTCACACCATTGCACTCCAGCCTGGCTACAGAGTGAGACTCTGTCGCGGGGGGCGGGGCAGAGAACTGCAGCAAGAGATTCTGCTAATTCTGCTTTGCTTCCAGATGCCATTATAAAGGCACTCATCACGTTATTTCCCGGTTAATATTTTTAAAAGAATAAAATTGGATAATTTGGATAACTTTAAGCAAAAATGTTTTTGCTTTTTTTTTTTTTTTCCAGATTCATCCAAGGTTTAGAAAATGGGAAAAGTGAGAAGAGATCCAAGATGGCTGATCACTAGCATCTCGGGATTGTAGCTCCCAGTGAAAGCACAAAGAACGAGAGGACGCCACACCTTCACATGAATTCTTGTTGCTCACGCACCAGGAGATTCCCAGCGGAGGAGCCCCACAGGTGGCCAGCGCGACTCTTGTGACCGGCGAGGAGGTTTTGCCGGCACCTCCTCGGAGCGTCGGTTCTTGGTGCAGAGTCAGAAAAGCACCATCAATCTTAACGCCGCTGATTTAGTCGGCGCAGTGGGTTGCTCAGATTTCGGCGCTGAGAATCAGTAAGTTGGACGTCCACTCGGAAATCCAATTACAAAGACGGTAATTATAAAGACCACAGATGGATAAATCTACAACGAAGGGAAGAAAACAGCCAAAAAAAGCTGAGAATACCCAAGATCAGAACGCCTCTCCCTCAGCAGGGGATCACAGTTCCTCATCAGCAACAAAACAAGGCTTGATGGAGAACGAGTGGGTTCCAATTACAGAAGCAGGCTTCAAAATGTGGATAATAAGAAACTTCTGTGAATTAAAAGAACTTGTTCTAACCCAATCCAAAGAAACTAAGCACTTTGAAAAAAGGTTTGGCGAAATGTTAACAAGAATACACAATTTAGAGAGGAATATAAGTGAATTGATGGAGCTGAAAAACACAATACGAGAACTACGTGAAGTATGCACGAGTTTTAACAGCCGAATTGATCAAGCAGAAGAAAGGATATCAGAGGTCGAAGACCAACTCAATGAAATAAAACAAGAAGACAAGATTAGAGAAAAAAGGATAAAAAGGAACGAGCAAAGTCTCCAAGAAATATGGGACTATGTGAAAAGACCTAATCTACGCTTGATAGGTGTACCTGAATGTGAGGAAGAGAATGAATCCAAGCTGGAAAATACGCTTCAGGATATTATTCAGGAAAATTTTCCCAACCTAGTAAGGCAGGATAATATTCAACTCCAGGTAATACAGAGACCACCACAAAGTTATTCCTCAAGAAGAGCAACTCCAAGGCACATAATTGTCAGATTCACCAGGGTTGAAATGAAGGAGAAAATACTAAGGGCAGCCAGAGAGAAAGGTCAGGTTACCCACAAAGGGAAGCCTATCAGACTTACAGCAGATCTCTCAGCAGAAACCCTACAAGCCAGAAGAGAGTGGGGACCAATATTCAACATCCTTAAAGAAAAGAACTTTCAACCAAGAATTTCACATCCAGCCAAACTAAGCTTCATACATGAAAAAAAAATAAAGTTTTTTGTGAACAAGCAAGCACTCAGAGATTTCATCACCACCAGGCCTGCTTTACAAGAGCTTCTGAAAGAACCACTACACATAGAAAGGAACAAACAGTATCAGCCTTTCTAAAAAATACCAAAAAGAGCATCAATATAATGAAGAATTTACATCAACTAATGGGCAAAATAGCCAGCTAATATTAAATGGCAGTATTAAAACTCACATATATCATTAATTCTAAATTTAAATTGACTAAATCCCCCAATCCAAAGACAGACAGGCAATTTGAATAAAAAACTAAAACCCATCAGTATGCTGCATCCAGACCTATCTCATATTCAAGGATACACAAAGACTCAAAACAAGGGATGGAGAAAGATTTACCAACCAACCAGAGAGCTAAAATATATAAATAAAAAGCAGAAGTTACAATTTTTGCCTCTGATAAAATAGTCGTTAAAGCAACAAAGATCAAAAGAAGCAAAAAAGGACATTATATCATGATAAAAGGATCAATGCAACAACAAGAAGAGCTAAAGATCCTAAATATATACGCACCCAATACAGGAATACCCAGACATACAAGACTAATAAAGAGACTTAGACTCCCACACAATAATAGTGGGAGACTTCAACATTAATATTAGACAGATCAATGAGACAGAAAATTAATGATATCCAGGACTTGAACTCAGATCTGGAACAAGTAAACGTAATTAACATTTATAGAACTCTCCACTTTAAATATACAAAATATACACTCTTATCAGTACCACATCATATCAACTTAGAAGTTTAAACGAAATGTTGGTTGGCTCCTTGTTTGTTATTCTCTTCCCTCATTTTCTTTTATGTCTCCATTATTAAGGACAATTATAGGCATACCCATACTTAGACTGCATTCTAGCCCAGGCAGCAAAGCAATACCCCCATCCTCTCTCCCTCTTCCTCTTTCTCTTTCCTCTTCTTTATTCTTTTTCTTATTATAAAAAAAATTAATAGAAAGCTAATACAAACTATTTGTAATCAAAAAAAAGAAAAGAAAATGGGAAAAGTGAGGTATTACAAGGACAAAGGAAAGTTGCTGATGATAATTTTTCTAGGTCTACACTTGTTAATAAAGTCTATTAAAATAGTTCTAGAGCCTACTCCTACTCATCTTATTTTCCCCAAAATTCACTAAAATAATTTAAAATAATAATTACTGCATGGGCTCATCAGAGGAGTGGTTGTGTCTGACTCAATCCTGTTCACTCCCAAAGTGCCCTGCATAGCAGACACATCAGGAAACGAATGTTGAATTTAATTTTTGTTTAGATATAAGCAATAAGAATGGATATCAATTTCTTTTCGATTTGGATTTCAAAAGGAACAGAAAATACCAAACTTAACCAAACAACTGAATCCACATAAGTTCTTTAAGTTACCCAAAGCCATATAAAATTAAAATAGGACACTTATCTTTGGGATCAGTCCCTGCTGAATTAGCAAAGGTTCATCGTCTTTCAGGCCATCTATGAAGAATTGCTGAATACATTCCAGCAACAGTGACACATACTGAAATTCATTTTTATCCAGTTCCTAGGAATAAACCACACTAAATTAAAACACTTCTAAATAATTATACATTCATATGTTGGTCACAAAGCCAACCAGCTTACTTGCCTTATTTATTAATCTGTCAAGACGGTATAACAGAAGGCGATTACATTTTTGAGGAAAGTGGCTCTCTTTCTGTTCAAAGTATTCTTTTATTTTCTGAAATCCTTTATCATGGAATGCATCCATAATAAGTGACTGAAGCTGAAAAGATGATATGATAGTTTGCACATTACTTTTTCCCCAATAACATTTATAGTAATTTTTTTTTTCTCTTGTTGCCCAGGCTTGAGTGCAATATCATAATCTCAGCTCACTGCAACCTCTCCCTTGAGGGTTCAAACAATTCTCCTTCCTCAGCCTTCTGAGTAGCTGGGATTACAAGCATGTGCCGCCATACCCAGCTAATTTTGTATTTTTAGTAGCGATGGGGTTTCTCGACGTTGGTCAGGCTGGTCTTGAACCCCCAACCTCAGGTGATCCGCCCACCTTGGCCTCCCAAAGTGCTGGGATTACAGGTGTGAGCCACCACACTCAGCTTATAGTAATATATCTCTCTGATATCATTATCAATAAGAATTAGGTGTGAAATAATATAGGATAAATATAGAATGGCGATCTCTAAATAGTAAGCAATCATTTCACAAAGGATTGATGTTCCTGTTAAGAGTTCCCAAAATGTGGTTCCTGGACCACCAGCAGCATTGACCTCACCTGGGAATTCTTAGCACTCAGACCCAGGGCAGAACCTTTCAGGTGATTCTCATGCATGCTTAAGTCTGGGAACCACTGATCCAAGGAAAACGACACTTGAGTTATAGATGTCATTAGGTGAAGATCCTCAGCAATGTTGGGAATTCTAAAACACTAAGTAACATAAATGATCATAATGGAAGGAAGAAAATTAAAACTAATAATTATAGATAATGAGTATGCAAATTGACCATAATGAATGAAATTGATCTTTTCTGCGTGCACATTAGCTAAGACGTGCTTCTAAGTATGTATACTTGAATAACAGACATTTCCTTAAACATTTAAACTAGAAAAGTTTTAATCTTTAAAAAAATCCAGTCCAATCCTACAGGTTAAATATACAATACTGTTTTAATAAGGAAGCAATTCACTTCATACAGCTCAAAACTGCACTTATTCTTAGTACTGAATTAAAAGGGAAAACGGCATTTGAAATTATTTTAAACAGAATGTTTTCTAAGATAACACATAGTGAGCTTTTTTGTGCCATGTGTGTTAAGTGTTCTGCAGATGTTACTATTTAATCCTCACCATGGCCCTGAGAGGTTAGGTTCTTTATCTTAGTATAGAAGTAGCAAGGATAGGAAAGGTTACAAACTTATGTGAGATCACTTAGCTGAAATTCACTCCCTTTTACTTGCTTAAAACTCTGCCGTTGCCAGGTGCAGGGCTCACACCTTAATTCCAGCACCCTAGGAGGCCAAGGCAGGAGTACTGCTTAAGCCCAGAAGTTTGACACCAGCCTGGGCAATCTAGTGAGACCCAGTCTCTGCAAAAAATGAAAAACTAGCCAGGCATGGTGGCTCATGCCTGTTGTCAAGCTACTCAGGAGGCTGAGGCAGGAGAGTCACTTGAGTCCAGGAGGTTGAGGCTGCAGTGAGCCGTGACTGCACCACTGCACTCCAGCTGGGTTGAGAGAGATCTCGTTAAAACAAAACAAAACTTTGCCATGGCTTCCTCTGCATTCAGAATAAATCCAAATCCTTTGCTTTAGTCCACAGAACTCTGCATGATCTGATCTCTGTCAGCTTCTGCAGTCTGACTTCCCTGCTAATGAATCCTAGAATAAGTCAAGCTTTTCCTTGCCTCCGGGTCTTTGAACTGGCTGTTCTAGGCCTTGACTTTGTCCCACCACTTTCCACATGGCTGGCTCCACTCAGAACACAGCGTAAGCATCACTTTTTCAGGTAGCTCTTCCAGGACCACCCTAAGTAGACCAAGTGCCCCTCAACACTCCCAATTATTCTTCATCACAATACCTGTTCTTTTTCTTCCTGTTTTCTTTGGCGCTCTGCCAGTCTATAAGCTCCATAAAGGTAGAAGTTGTGTCTATTTTCTTCAGTACTATCTACCTATATCTAGAATAGTACAGGGCAGAAGATAGTTTAGACTAGGATATTGGCAGGATAGCTTATGGTGAAACTGGACGTGAGCATTAGGGAAGGAGAAGAAATAAAGATTTCTCTGCTTCTGATTTGAGCAATTGGAGGAACAATTTTGCTAATAACCCAGGGAACACAGAACTAGAAAGAACACACACACACACACACACACACACACACACACACACACACAGAGAGAGAGAGAGAGAGAGAGAGAGAGAGAGAGAGAGAGAGAGAGAGAGAGAGATTGATTATAAAAGAAGCTTGATCTTTACCCAGAAGGCCTTATCCTGGGCCTTTCCAGTCCCATCTTCCTTAATAGACTCCAAAGGAGCTTCATTCTTCTGTGTGCAATAAAAACATATTTAAATTTTTTTTATTTTGAAATGCACTTCAAGTTTTAAATATAAAGCAAAAAAATTTTAAGGTTTGTATTATTTTCCTGAACAGAAATTTTTGTTTGCTCATATTATAGGTCTAAGTAAAATAGTACTTAATAAAAAAACTATCCAACCTTCTTTAGCATGGTCTAAGACAAATACAATACAAACTATCAGAAGAAGCAAAGCAAACATCATTTGAACAATCATATAAAATAAACTCTATAATGAGGATTATAAAGTAGAAGTAAAAGGCTTTGAGCTAATAAACCATTTTCAGAATGACAGCTTGTAAAACAAAGTTAAAGTGTCTTGGAGGCATCATACTACCTGACTTCGAAATATACTACAAAGCTATAGGAACAAAAACAGCATGATACTAGCATAAAAACAGACACAGACATAGACCAATGGAACAGAATACATAACCCCCAAATAAATCCACTTCTTTATAGCCAACTGATTTTTCACAAAGGTGTCAAGAACATTCATGGGGAAAAGACAGTCTCTTCAATAACTTGTGCTGGAAAAACTGGATATTTATATGTGGAAGAGTGAAACTAGATCCCATGTCTCACCATATACAAAAGTCAACTCAAAATGAACTGAAAACTTAACACTTAAGATCCCAAACTATGAAAGAACTAGAAGAAAATATAGGGAAAACACTTCAGGACATTGGTCTGGACACAAATTTTATAGAGAAGATCTCAAAATCACAGGCAATGAAAGCAAAAATAGACAAATGAAATTATACAAATCAAAAAGCTTCTTACATAAAGGGAATTAACAGAGTGAAGAGACAATCAGCAGAATGGGAGAATATATTTGCAAACTATGCATTGAACAAGCCATTACTATCCAGAGTATACAAGGAACTCAAACACATCAACAGCAAAATAACCAATCCAATTAAAAATGGATAAAGGAGCTAAATAGACATCTCTCAAAGGAAAGCATGCAAATGACCAACAGGTATATGAAAAAATACTCAACATCAGTAATCATTGGAAAATGCAAATCAAAACCAAAATGAGATATTATCTTACCCCAATTAGAATGGCCATTATCAAAACAAAAAACAACAAATGCTGGAAAGGATATGGAGAAAGAGGAACTCTTCTATACTGTCAGTAGGAATATAAATTAGTATAGACAATATGGAAAACAGTACGGAGGTTCCTCAAAAAACTAAAGCCAGAACTATCATACAATCCAGCAATCCCACTCCTGGAGATATGTCCAAAGGAAAATAAATCGGTATGTCAAAGGCATATCTGTAATTCCATGTTTATTGCAGTGCTATTCGTAATAGCCAAGATCAACCTAAGTGTCCATCAGCAGATAAATGAAGAAAATGTGGTATATTCACACAGTGGAATACTTTTCTGCCAGAAAAAAAAGAATGAAATCCTGTCATTCATGGTAACATGGATGAGCCTGGAGGGCATTACGGTAAATGAAATAAGCCAGGCACAGACAGACGTACTGCACAGCTAACTGGGAGGAGCAGGTTCTAGAGTACGATAGCACTGCAGGGTGACTATAATGAAAACCTTATTACATATTTTCAAATCGCTAGATGAGTCGATTCTGAACATTCCAAACACAAAGAAATAACTGAGGTGATGGGTATGTATAATTACCCTGATTTGATTATTACGCATTGTATACATGTATGGAAATATCACACTATACCCCCATAAACATGTGCAATTATGTGTCAGTTATAAATGGTAAAGGCAAAGCAAAAGAACTATTGTGTTAGTAGATAATTGAGTAGAGGTGATCGTGGGATAGAAGGAACAGCTCAAGCTGCAATTAAAATTCGGTATTAATTCACAGCACAAACTGGCATCAAATAAACACTATGCTATGGATCTATAAACAATTTCTAAGTTTTGTCAACAAATTCCGAATTAGTGCGAAATACTTTCCATCCCATAGAAAATATTCCCGGGAGCTCTTATGTTAAGCCTCTTTACCTCTCTTCTCTATAGACACTGCCCTATCTCTCCTTCAGTTCGATTTGTATGCAGAGATGCTCTGTGTATTTTAATTTCGATCTCCTTTCAACCTTCTCTGACCTTGGTGATCAGTACTCTGCAAATTCCAAAGAAATGCTTCCTGTTTCTGGAATTTCTGGAGCCACTCTAGTGCACAGAAAGGTATCCGCCCCCTCCCCGGCCGCTGTGAAGATCACGAGGCAGCTTTCGTGGCTAGGAACTTGACAGGAAAGTCTGAAAGTGGGATGGTTTAGGCAGAAAAGATCTTTAGATTCTCTGAGCTTCAGTCTCCTCATTTAAAAAACATGATAACACCTATACGGAAGGATTGGAGTGAGGACTGACTGAGAGAATGTTTGTAATGTCCTAAAAATGGCTCAGCGAACGGCAGCTTTCAACGTAGGAGGGATGGTGAGGAGGGATGGTGAGGATGTTAGAATGGTTCGTGTCCCAAACCTGTTTCCCCACGGCTGGGAAGATGGCGCCAGATGACAGACGGATTTTATGGAGAACAAAAGAGTGAGTTCCTGGATCCAGGCAAGCAGTCACCCCTGGCTATCAGAATCACCTGGGGTCCTCACTAACAAACTAACAAACTACCAGCCCACCCTCGACCAATTAAATCAGAATTTCTACCAGTGGAAACCCAGGCAGAAGAGTGTCAGAAACAAGCCACAGGTGGTTTTTGTTTCTTGGTGGTTTTTTTTGGCGGGGGGCCCAGGTGGTTTTTGTTTGGGTTTTTGTTTTGTTTTTTTTTTTTTTTTTTTTTTTGGCGCCCCAGGTGGTTTTTGTTTTTTTGGCGTCCCTGTGTAGGCTCAAACTCTACGTGCTTTTATTTTGTACTATTTATTGATAAGTAATAACTGCATCTTTACTCATGTATTTATCTTACGGACTGTCCGTCGTCGTTCGGTTAAATGAAGCCCACGCACCTGCGGCTGCTTAACGCTACTGCACTTTCTACGCAGCGACATGGAAAGAGCTGGAAAACCAGCTAGGAAAATACGCAAAGCAACTAGACACGAACTATCTCTTTGCTTTCCGAACACCAATTTTCCTGTTCCCCGTTTCCTCAGCGCTTTATTAGCGCGGGATCAGGGGTTTCTATTCTGCCTCATCTCACTGCAAGCTGCCAATACACTCAAAGCGAACCCCAGGAGGTGGCGGGGGACGGTGCCCAGCGCCCGGTCTCTGGGCAAACACCTCAACGCTGAGACCCAGGGACCCCGTGCCCTCGAGCACCCTCGGACTGTGGACAGAAGGTCCGGGCCCTCCGGGGTCACTCACCGCTTGCATCCCGAGGCTTCCGTCCTGACCCGACGCGCAGCTCAAGTTTGCGGCGCTCGGTCCGCCCCCTGCGGTTTCCTCGCCCGAGACCCCCGCCCGCTGGAGGCGCCGACGGCTCTTCTAGTTGAATCTTACTCCGCCACTGTAATTGACGAATCCCCCCTGAAGTCTATCAGAGCCGTGTTTGAGACTCTAGAAACGCGTGCAAGTAACTAGCGCACACGGGCCAAGACACCTGGGCGCACGCACACACCGTTTAAGAGACAGCCAACACCAAAGGATCCGAACTATGTTGCTTAATCGTTTCTTCTTTGCGAAATTCCGAACAGATAGGCATCAGCTTTGCAGAAGCTGATCCAAGTGTTCACCCTTTTGAGGTGAAAGCTAGCGGAGCGGCCGGGTGCGGGGGTTCACGTCTGTAATCCCAGCACTTTGGGAGGCCGAGGCGGGTGGATCACTAGAGGTCAGGAGTTCGAGAGCAGCCTGGTCAACATGGCGAATCCTTGTATACACTAAAAATACAAAAAATTAGCCGGGCGTGATGGCATGTGCCTGTAATCCCAGCTACTGGGGCAGCTGAGGCGGAGGAATCACTTGAACCCGGGAGGCGCAGGTTGCGGTGAGCCGAGATCGCGCCACTGCACTGCAGCCTGAAAGACAGAACTAGACCCTGTCTCAAAAAAAAAAAAGAGGAGCTGTTTTTGGTCCATTGATGTGTGTAGACAGAAGCTGAACCCTTTCCTATGGCAACCAGACTTGTACCCGATACTATTAATACATTCCTGATTTCACACACACAAAAACTGTTTTGTTTGCTTGTTGGTGGGAGGGAGGGGTTTTTTTGTTTTGTTTTGTTTTGTTTTGTTTTTTCTTAAAGCAAATAGGTTTTTTTTTTCTGCCTGTTTCCTTTAACCTGACAAGTAGGCGTACCAATGACTGGGCTGATTTGGGTAGGTGGCCCGTTTTGTGAACATGGTGGCAAAACTAAATTGGACTGGAGTTTCCCATAAAAAAAGGGCCCCTCCAATCCAAACATTCTTTGTGTAAAAATAAACTTGTATTATAACTAGACCTATGAGTATTTCATGTCATAATATGTACAGAAGATATTTGTCTACACCAAAGCAAAACATAAAATAACCAGAACCCCTGTTATCCCAGAATGAACACATCTCTAGTCCATTTAAAACAATGTTTATGTCAAAGCCTGCCATATCCATTTTCTGGCAAATTTAATGTAAATATTCTTACATTAATTTACCTATTTTAATCTAAACCAAGAAAAGCCAAAGACAAGTTCGTTTCCTTTTGAATTAATGGACTTTTACAATATTAAACTAGTAATCAAAACAAGAACAGCTGTGAATATAAACTATTGCGAATCAATACAAATAGAATGCCAGGGCAAGAAAGAAATAAGAAGAAGCAGTAAACAAAATGCTACAGTTTAAATGAATTTTATTTGAGAATATTTAAAAATTAGTTTTCATAATATTAGAAAACTTAATAATCTATTCTTTTTAGGCTTTTGGGGGAAAACATGCTTCCAAAGTCTATGGTGCAATGCATTCAAATCTTTAAGAGAAATCAAAAATAACAGAACAGACAAAATACCTTTTTTATGTTTATTTTTTACTTTGATTAGCTTTTTTTATTACCATTTTTTGTCCAGATATAATTTAAGGCAACTTGAAATGCATATTCTAATTCTTCTCAAACTAAATATGGTAGAGGCTCTATGACATTTCTTTGGATACCAGAATCCATTTAGAAATTAATTGATTTGCCTTTAACATCAAAAAGTTTTATTTATTTATGTTTTTGACGGGTCAGGTCTCTCTAGGAAATTCCAGAAGAACAGAGAAAACAAACTATTCTAACACTGCAATAAGAACAGAAGTTAATGTCTATGCATTCTGAGAGGTAACTTTAAATCACTATTTTAAAGTTATTTTTAGAACATTTGAAAGGATAACGTATCTTAAACTTTTAAAAAACATTTAATAAAATAATATATTTTAAAATGGTCAATAAATGTTCATGTAATTTCGGAAGACAAAGCAACACGAAAAGCAACGCAATCACAGGAGTTTTGGGGACCTTTGGCAGACAGTTAAGATGAAAATCTGTGAATGAACCTAGTGGGTGAAGGGTAGACACATCTCTTCCTTCCCAACCAGACCTTAGTGGCGACGATTTGAGAGTGATTTTAATCAGAAACCCTGACGGACAGGACCTTTCAGGAGAGGAGAACTTCAGGAGAAAGGAGGCTGGGAATGAACAAACCACTTTCTTCTGCTAGGACCCTTCGCCTTTGGTTGGGAAGAGGACCCCGGCTTGAAGATAAAGAAGGAAAACTTCGAGAGGAACTGCTCTAAGCTGGCCTTTCTCCCCAACAGAGTTCGCTGGTCCGCTGCCATTGGCAGGCTTCTCTGACCGACTGGGATACTTTTTTCTTCCTTCCGTTTTTTTTTGTTTTTGTTTTTGTTTTTTTTTTTAGACAGGATCTCGTTCTGTCGCCCAGGCTGGAGTGCAGTGGCACGATCTCAGGTCACTGCAACCACCTCCTGGGTTCCGGAGATCCTCCCGCCTTACCCTCCGGAGTAGCTGGGACTACAGGCAAGCGCCACCATGCCTGGTTAGTTGTTTGTTTGTTTTTAATTTTGGAAGAGACGGGGTTTCGCCGTGCCTCCCAAAGTGCAGGGATTACAGGCCTGAGCCACCCGCGCCCGGCCGCAGGATCGAATTTTCTAAGCAAGCCTGACTGTGCCCTTGGCTGGGGAAGTAAACGGACCGGGAGAGTGGCCCACCCTTAGTTTCCTGAGGTTGTTTCGCTCTTCCTTTATCCGCCTTTTGCCAACCGAAGGCACTGATCCTGCATGAGACCCTGGCAAGGGCGCGCTCCTGGACGAGTCCCGCGCAGCACCGGTCCGTGTTCCCAGCGTGCGCTCTGCGGTGCCAAGGTCTAGGGCGCGCCGCTCTCCAGGTCTAGAGGGTCATAGGTTCGGTTCATCCTCCTCTCTCAAGGGATCCGCCGTGAGGAGTTGGCTCCTCTTCTCTGGCTAGGGCTGGGAATGGAAGCATGCAGCTGCAGAACAAGGGCGCGAGGAATACATACCAGAAGCCCTTCTTCCCTGGCCGCCCAGAATCCGGCCCTGGGGTAGTCAAAAAGCGACTTTAGTCACGTCAGTCGATTTTTTTTTTAACTGAGGGTCTTCCTGTGCCTGAGTAGCCCTGGGTGGGGCGGCTGCTCGGATGAAGAAGGTTTCTTTCGTCCCGGGGAACCTACTTTGACCTGCGCACTCCTGCACCACCGCGATTCTCTAATCTAGTCCCCCAGAGCCTCCCAAGACTGTAATGGAGTTAATACAATTTTGTCGTGATATTTTCACGACTACATCAGTAAAGTTTTTTGTTGTTGTTGTTGTTTTTGTTTTTTTTTGTGTGTGTGTGTGTGTTTTATTTTTTTTTTTTTAGGAGTTGTGTTCAGGTGGTTGGCAACTGAGAGCTCGCGAAACCACAGCCCCTTATTTAACAGATAAGAAAGCTGAAACCTAGAGGGAGCCAAAGCAGAGGAGAAAGCTAGGAGTTCTACGAGACTTTTCCCCTCTCCCCTTTCTCTCCTACCCCAGGCTCCCACCTACCCCGGGCTCAATACCCCCACCTCCTCCGGGTTCACTTTGTGGGACTCCGTTCCTGCAGGGCCAGGTCCCTCCGCAGTCCCCTGGAGCAGGAGGGCGCCTGAGCTCGCGAGCACACGCCGAGGCTTGGCGCCCCCTAGCACGTCCCAAACCGACGAGCGAAGACTCCCGGACGCACAGCAGTTAGGTGAAGAGCCAGCAGCGGAGGCCCAAAATGGGCTGACCCCTAACCAGGAGGGGTGGGCGCTATTATTCAGGCTAGGGCGCTGGCGGACAGCAAAGGGGTCCCCCCGCAAGGTTCCTATGCTCTCCTGGAATCGAGTGTTGGCTCTCCGGGGACTTTGCTGGAAAAGCCTCTGCTTTCAAAGCCTCCATCCCTTTCCGAAATCAGGGAAGCCGGAGGCACTTAGAAAAAAAAAAATAGGCCGCGCGCGGTGGCTCATGCCTGTAATCCTAGCACTTTCGGAGGCCGAGGCGGGCGGGTCACCTGAGGTCAGGAGTTCGAGACCAGCCTGGCCAACATGGCGAAAAGCGGTGTCTACTAAAAATACAAAAATTAGTCGGGCGTGGTGGCCTACGCTTGCAATGCCAAGTACTCAGGAGGCTGAGATAGGAGAATCGCTTGAACCTAGGAAGCAGAGGTTGCAATGAACCAAGATCGCGCCATTGCACTCCAGCCTGAGCAACAGAGTGAGACTCTGTCTCAAAGAAAAAAAGAAAGAAAATAATAAGGTTTTTAACTTAAAGGATACATTCCAACTTGTCCTCTCCACCTCCACTCCAACATCCTTGCTTCAGTTTCCTTTGCTTCCGGGACTGAGCTTAACCTCCACCTCAATTCCAGGCTCTGTCATGGAGGGGATGACCGGTCCGTGGAGCCTGAGTGCTAATAAGGTAGGAGAGACAGGGCGGAGCCCTCCCCACCCCACCCCCACCCCAACGAGATGTAACTTTATAAAGGAGGGGGCAGCTGCCAGACGTCGATGCTGCAGTTCGGGTGGAGACCGTTCAGCACGGAGGCCGAGGACAGGGCCCCACCCGGGCCCATAACCATTGTGCTCAGCTTCCAGATTTCTAAACAACCCCTCTCTCTTTCTCTCTGCCCCTCCCCTTCACACACATACCCCACTTTCTTTTTTAAAGAGGAAAAAAAATTACCTGGCGCACCTCTCCTTTTTTTCTTCTATTTTTCAGAAGCCTGGGCGGCAAGCGCGAGCGAGTCGGTCAGATGCCCGCGGCCGCGGTGCAGGAAGCGGTCGGCGTGTGCTCCTACGGGATGCAGCTCAGCTGGGACATCAACGATCCGCAGATGCCCCAGGTAAGCGAACCGGCTGTGCGAGGGCACGCGGGGCGCTGTCCATCCAAAGG